GAGAAAGCACGGGGTGAGCAGGAGGAGACGGAGCGGCTGCAGAGACAGGTCTGGGGTGGCGAGGTGCAGGGGCAAGGGGCTGCAGGGGAGGCGGGGTGGAGGGGACAGGGGAGGAAGAGGTGGGATGGGGGATGAAGGCAGGGATGGAGGGGGAAGGCAGGGATGCTCTCCTGTGATTCCCACCCCAGTGGGATGCAGGGGCGAGGACCAGCCCAGCCCCTCGATGCTCAGGGTGGCGGGAGGGGACGTGGGACAGGGCTGCCCTGAGCCGCCCGAGCAGCCTGTCCCCACTGTCCCTGGCCCATCCCATCCATCCCTGCCCTGTCTCATCCTTCCCTGGTGCCCCGCTGTGCCGCAGAGGGAAGAGGCCGAGGCGAGGGCGCGCGAAGAGGCCGAGCGGCAGCGCCTGGAGCGGGAGAAGCACTTCCAGCGTGAGGAGCAGGAGCGGCTGGAGAGGAAGAAGGTGAGGGCTGGGGGCACCCCTGGGCGCGTGGCACAGCAGGGGCTTCCCCTGCAAGGGGTCCTGCCCAGCACCCAGGGCAGGTCCTGCTGGCGAGGGCTGTGCACGAGCTCCTCTCTGCCCCGCAGCGCCTGGAGGAGATCATGAAGAGGACGCGCAAGTCGGACGCAGCGGATGCCAAGGTGGGTGCCTGTCCCCTGTCCTGAGGTGCGTGGGGACATGGGGGACTCTGCAGAGCCCTCCCACCCCTGCCCGGAGCCGCCACTGCCCCTCACAGCTCTCCTCTCTCTGCAGAAGAAGGAGGACAAGAAGGTGGTGAATGGGAAAGCGGCCGAGCAGGAGGATGACCCAGGTACGTGGCCTCTTCCCACAGCCTGCTGCACCTCCGGGGTGGCGGAGCCACGACCCCATCCTGCTCCCCCCCCATCCCAGCCATGCTGCTGCCCGGGGCCATGGCTGAGCAGGGGGCTCTGCTGATGTCCCCAGGCCGTGAGAAGCGTGCGGGGCCAATGCCAAAGGAGGAGGAACTCCCTGAGACTGAGACGCCGAGTGCAGGGATGCCGGAG